GTAAGTTGGAAAACAATATAGCGATAGATTATCCATCATCATGATTGTTTTGAGAGTTCTGGGTACAATAATATAAGGTTTAGGTGTGGTAAGTTTTTTTCTTTATATATTTCTTTTGGAATTTTGAAATGTGTCATGAAATTTTAAACTTCAAACCTTTTTTTCGTGTTGGGTGTTAAAAGAAGATCAAAAGAATGATGACCTTTAATGTCAGCTTAATGGTGCTATTTTGCCTTAATTATAAATATTAATGATTTTGTTCAAATCTAGTGTGGCAAAAAGGAATACAACCAATGTTGTTTTAGAATAGATAGATAGATAGATTAGATAGATAGATAGATAGATAGATAGATAGATAGTAGATAGATAGATAGATAGATAGATAGATAGATAGATAGATGATAGATAGATAAGATAGATAGATAGATAATAGATAGATAGCTAGATAGATATATAGATAGATATAGATAGATAGAGATAGGATAGATAGATAGATAGCAGGATAGATAGATAGATTAGATAGATAGATAGATAGATAGATCGATAGATTAGATAGATAGCTAGATAGATAGATAGATAGATAGGATAGATAGGATAGATAGATAGATAGATTAGATAGATAGAATGATAGTAGATATATAGATAGAATGATAGATAGATAGATAGATAGATAGATAAGATAGATAGATAGATAGATAGATAGATAGATAGATAGATAGATAGATAGATAGATAGTCGATAGATAGATAGATAGATAGATAGATAGATAGCTAGATAGATAGATAGATAGATAGATAGATAGATAGATAGATAGAAGATAGATAGATAGATAGATAGATAGATAGATAGATAGATAGATAGATAGATAGATAGATAGATAGATAGATAGATAGATAGATAGATAGATAGATAGATAGATAGATAGATAGATAGATAGATAGATAGATAGATAGATAGATAGATAGATAGATAGATAGATAGATAGATAGATAGATAGATAGATAGATAGATAGATAGATAGTAGATAGATAGATAGATAGATAGATAGATAGATAGATAGATAGATAGATAGATAGATAGATAGATAGATAGATAGATAGATAGATAGATAGATAGATAGATAGATAGATAGATAGATAGATAGATAGATAGATAGATAGATAGATAGATAGATAGATAGATAGATAGATAGATAGATAGATAGATAGATAGATAGATAGATAGATAGATAGATAGATAGATAGATAGATAGATAGATAGATAGATAGATAGATAGATAGATAGATAGATAGATAGATAGATAGATAGATAGATAGATAGATAGATAGATAGATAGATAGATAGATAGATAGATAGATAGATAGATAGATAGATAGATAGATAGATAGATAGATATAGATAGATAGATAGATAGATAGATAGATAGATAGATAGATAGATAATAGATAGATAGATAGATAGATAGATAGATAGATAGATAGATAGATAGATAGATAGATAGATAGATAGATAGATAGATAGATAGATAGATAGATAGATAGATAGATAGATAGATAGATAGATAGATAGATAGATAGATAGATAGATAGATAGATAGATAGATAGATAGATAGATAGATAGATAGATAGATAGATAGATAGATAGATAGATATATAGATAGATAGACAGATACTCAAAAAGATACTCAGAATACGTACCCCATCATAACAACCTCAGATTTGTTCATACTGAGAATTCTTCTTGTCCTCCTCTCGTTAGGGATTTTAAATTCCTTTTATATAGTTTTTGCACAATTTTTTTTGTTGTTTTTATTTTTACAGCATTTAACTAAAACAAATCATTTCCCATAAAAAGACCATAAAACACTTCCTAACATTTATACAAATTACGAATAAGCTTCATAAAACAGCAGCATTCTCACTTTTCTTTTCTGCCCTTTTTTTCCAGTAAATCTTTTACACATTTACGTTTTATCCTTAATCTTTATTATATAAATAAAAAGCGCGTAATAAATATGTTTCATGAAAAACAACCCAAAAACATTTAAAATAAAAAAATCTTTTTTACAACTTTTTTTGCTTAACATTTCCTTTTTGGCCTTTACTTTTCTCGGTCATTATACATATAGAAATGTTAGTGAAGACCCTGAAAAACAAATGCCAATTTCATTTATTTAACTGTTAAGTTTATTACTAGCAACATGAAAAACAATCGCAAAAGGAATACTAAAAGTCTGTGCCACATTTTGAACTAATTTTTTTTTTTTTTTGCTCTCAAATTCTTAGTTTAGATTTCATTTCTCCTTTTTCCTTACATCACTCAACATCATTTAGTTTACATCATGTAAACAACAAATCTTTAACTGCAAACATGAGCGAAAGAATCAAGAGTTTGAGGTTGGGGAAGTCTCATAAAAGTTCATTGTCCTAATGTAATGTTTACATAACGCTTGGGAGGGTTATTCAGTTTTTTCTTTCAAGTGTTAAGATTTAAAGACATTAAATGTTAAAATAAAAATAAAATTACTTGGCCAGTCAGTATAACATTTAAAATGTTTGCTGTGTTTTAACATTATTAGTGTGTAAATTTATTTTTGCTGATTATTTATTTACAGAAAAAAAAAATAAGATTAAAAATTACTTTTTCTAATCTTTAAAAGCTTTCTATTGGCGCATTTTGTCTATTTTTTAATCTTGTAAATTTACTTGTTTTTTTTTTCAGCTAAGATTTATTAGAAACTCTTTTTGAGATTAATTTTTTATTATTGAATTGACCTTTAAACATGTGATAGATAGATTTTTTTGTCTATATAAACAAAAAATAGACAATATTATTATCATGGGATCAAAATCCATTTAATAAAAATCTTAATATTCAATTAAGGTCTAGTTTTAAAAGCTATTTTATGACCAGTGGGTTTAACTTAAGCTTTAATGCACTTTTTAAAAAATTGATAATAATTTAAAGTATTTTAATATAAATTTTTATACATTAAGTTATATTTCATTTCTTTAAAATAAAGCGAAACTTGTCGCCATTTTATGGTTTCAATAATCTGTCCGATACCGGTAGTAGTTTTCCTTTACTTTACCTTAAACTATTTGCATCCCAACTAATGAATATTTAATATATTTACCACCTCTCTTTTATTTTAATTGACAATAAATCAATAATTTTATTAAAACCAAAAAAGTGGTCAATAAACTTTTTCTATTATCAATAATGTATAATTTTATTGTTGTATTAAATAGAAAACAATATTTATAGTTTTATTATTCAATTTACAAATAACATGCGTTACTTGTAACTAAATAATGAAACTATAAATAATTTTCTATTTATTTTTTTAAACAAATAAAATTTACATAAATAACTAAAATAAATACATTCACGCAAATGTTTAATAACAAGCAATTAACTTTTTTTATTGAAACATTAAAAATAGATTTAAATCAATAGTGAATTGCTTGTTTTTATGATTGAATATGAAAGAGGAGCATAAAAGCTTTATTCAATATTTAAGGTGCAAATGTATAATTTAATTTAATAAAGTAGTCATAAAGTTATTATTATTAAATAAATAAATTTTTAAATAGAGCAATAAAATAGACAAGTAGATAGATAGATAGATAGATAGATAGATAGATAGATAGATAGATAGATAGATAGATAGATAGATAGATAGATAGATAGATAGATAGATAGATAGATAGATAGATAGATAGATAGATAGATAGATAGATAGATAGATAGATAGATAGATAGATAGATAGATAGATAGATAGATAGATAGATAGATAGATAGATAGATAGATAGATAGATAGATAGATAGATAGATAGGATAGATAGATAGATAGATAGATAGATAGATAGATAGATAGATAGATAGATAGATAGATAGATAGATAGATAGATAGATAGATAGATAGATAGATAGATAGATAGATAGATAGATAGATAGATAGATAGATAGATAGATAGATAGATAGATAGATAGATAGATAGATAGATAGATAGATAGATAGATAGATAGATAGATAGATAGATAGATAGATAGATAGATAGATAGATAGATAGATAGATAGATAGATAGATAGATAGATAGATAGATAGATAGATAGATAGATAGATAGATAGATAGATAGATAGATAGATAGATAGATAGATAGATAGATAGATAGATAGATAGATAGATAGATAGATAGATAGATAGATAGATAGATAGATAGATAGATAGATAGATAGATAGATAATATAGATAGATAGATAGATAGATAGATAGATAGATAGATAGATAGATAGATAGATAGATAGATAGATAGATAGATAGATAGATAGATAGATAGATAGATAGATAGATAGATAGATAGATAGATAGATAGATAGATAGATAGATAGATAGATAGATAGATAGATATTTCATCGGTTCATATTTCTGAACCGATTCGACATCATGCCACTTTGAAAAACAGTCTTTTATGTGGTATTCTAACTATAATGTACCATGAGAGGCAAATCCTCAAAAACTGTCCAGCACTTGTGGAGATATTGGACTCTTCTCCAGAAAGCTGCAGAATGCATGAAAATTAAAATATAGGAAGTTGATAAGTAAGAGTAAAATAATACATTTAATGCAAATAATTCCCAGTTTAAAGAGGATTAAATGCATATAAATCACTTGATTAAAAAAAAAAACATAAAAAATGATTTATGTGTATTAAATAAACAAAAGCCAACAGAAAATAAAAAACTAAAATATATTTGGTCAAGGTCGACCATATAACACCTTAGTCTAGCTATAATTATATTTCAAATGTTATACGAAAAGTACTTAGCAAAAGTTTTCATTACCAAGTAAGCGGCATTTTTAATCATTATTTTATCACAGTGATGACATGGGAAGCAAGTACTTACAGTACATTTGGCTTGAAATAGGGAGTTATATAAGTACTTACAACGAACGCTTGCTAATAAGAAGTTAAGAAAGTAGATTTTTTTTAATAAACTACCAGAGGATGAGTCCAAGGCTTATACTAATAAGAAATAAGTACTTACATATATAGTTATTGTAAGTCATTACTAGACTCCTTCTAAGTAAGGCAGGCGATATGCAGTAGTCACTGAAATGCAAGTTGGGGGGTTAGTATAAGTCATTATCATGTTTTTACTGATA